GTAAAAATCATAAGAGTAAAATACATAATAGTCCCTCGATGATAAGGTATTACTTTGTTAGTTACTTAATTATTAAAAGCTACAAAATGATCCCTCAATTATATGACGTTTTGTTAAGTTTCTGACTATTGAAAGTTACAAAATGATCATTGACTATACATATATTCCAAAATCGTTCTTTTTTGTTGAAAAAATTGACACTTGTCTGAGCCGGAACTTAACATGTTGATTGAGATATGATAAAAATTATATTTTAATGATGTCTACTGATACCATCGTTACTTCAAGTACTGGCCCGCCAACATAATGTTTCATGATGACAGAAATTAACGGAAATTAATCTATAAAATACAATTAAATGATTTGAATCATATTTTATCATATCCAATCAATAGGTTAACGTCCATATCAGATAACCGCCAATTTTTAATGAGAAAAGACGAGTTTGGAATCTTTAGTTAATCGTATTGCGTGTCCTCAAAGTTGACCCTCATTTTAAATTAATCCTAAATTTTAAATATTTTAATTTCATCCCTAGACTATCATTCTAGATTTGTCTTCAAACTTTTGAATATTTCAATTTCATCCCTAACTAGGACCTTCATTCAAATTAGTCCCTACACTTTTTGAACATTCCAATTCCATCCCAAACTATAAACATATACTTATCACATCCTTGTTAATAAAATCGTTAGGCAAGTTATATTATATATGCTTGAAGAAAAAAAACTTTAGGCAAACTATGGTTGAAATTGATTACATATTTGGATGAATTTAGGGATGGAATTGGAATATTCAAAAGTTAGGCGACCAATTTAGAAAAATGGCATAATTTAGGGATGAAATTAGAATGTTCAAAGTTAAGCACTAATTTAGAATGAGATTCATAGTTTAAGGATAAATTGAAATATCCAAAAATTTAAGTACCAATTTAAAAATGAAAGTTATAGTTTGGGAACATATGATGCAATTAACTATGTAATCTTTCATCATCAACTTATTTTAAGCAAGTGTACATATGTTATATAGATAATTTAAATTTATCATGTAAAAAAGACGGTGTTATTAAGATATTTTAAGATTATTATTTTTCTACTGTATCAGATTCAAGTTATCCATGTAACAAGTACACAAGTTTAAAATTTATCTACATTTTTAATATACTTGGCGTCAGATTTAAGTTGACATTTAACATATAAATTTAAGCACATAATAAAGCATGTTTTTAAAGTTTGAAAATCAATTTAGAATATGAATCATAATTTAGAGAAGTCTAATGTAATTAACTCCAAGACTTATGCAAACGAGTTCCTTTGTCAGTGCGTTGCACGTGTATTTACACGTTTGATTATTTTAATTAATTATTTATGTTTATTTCATCTAATAAAAAAAAAAATTATTTATATTATCTCTATTCCGATGCTCAAACTATTGGAGTTAGGGGTGTTAAAAAATATTGAATCGTTAATCTGTATAATCGTTATATTTAATAGATTAATTAATCGAACGTTAAAAATGATAGTTAAGTTACGTTAATTTTGAAAACGGTTAACCAACAGTTAACCATTAAGAAATTAAATTTATAATTATATATTTCTAATTTATTAAATTTTTACACAAATAACTTAATATAATTTTTTACTATTCACATATATATATTAATAAATTTATATACAAATAATTTAATATATATATATATTTATCATTTTTAATTTTATTTTTGAAAAATAAAAATATTCTTACACATTTATTGTTAGGTAATAAGATATTTTGAGATGTATATAATTACATCGATATAGTATGTGTTAAGTGACTTTTTATTTTATCATTACATCGGTTTAAGTATGTGTTAACTTATATATTTTTGTAGTGAATTATAATTTTTTTTGACAAATAACTTTAATAGGTTAACCTATAACCGATGTTAATAATGATTAACCATTAACGATTAACTATATTTTAATAATTATATTAGTTAAAAAACTTATAACTATAATGATTAACTAATCGATTAGGACAAACGGTACAATTAACCATCCAGTTTTAACATCTCTCTACAAAGTTGCAGTTTTTTGATTTGACACAGTCTATTCTGTCACTGGCAAACTATATCACATGATAACCAAATCAATTCATTTTATTGATTTATGAATGGCAATCATTATCCTCAAAATGACACTTGCGCACACTATAAATCAATATATAAGCCTTAAGACATAGCTAAAGAGGGAATATTCTTCTTCTTTTCTCCACTCTTCTCTCAGTGCTCCCTCGAACATTATTCATTAGTCTTCAATATGTTTAAAAAGCAAACGGTTGCAACCCTCTAAATTAAAAAGATAAATCGTTGCAATTGACATAACATATTATTAGTACCAACAATTATATGATGAACGTGGACATACTTTCATATTTAGAGAATCGATAAGATGAACCTTCGAACATTATAATCAATTTAACTTAAAATATTTGTCTCAAACCGTCTAAGTGTTCTCCCAAGCCATTTGGAGGGATTGTTAATGTAATCATAGGGGATCCCAACTTTATATTCTATGATAAAAGGTCACACCCTCAAAGTGACCTTAGGTCTGATCTCAACACAAAGTACTATATAAGTCACCATGCAGGTGAATAAGAAGGCTTTGCTGGAAAAGTTATTGAATGAGTGTTGTTATTTATAACTATTAATAATAAGTCATGTCACTTAGTGAATAGACTTAATTTCTGGTTTAAAGTTGTATCCATTTAATCATATTTATTCAACAATTCTATACATGAAAAGATTAAGTCATTTCTTGAAAAGGTTAAGTCACTTCATTGAAATATAAGTTACTAAATATATCAAAAAGAAAATCTTTGTAAAAAATATGAAAATTAACATATTATTAAGTCTTAATTCGATTGACATTATTATTGTTAACATCTAAAAAATAAGTTTAAGTATATAATATATTTTTTTTAATTTAAGGATTTGAGCTTTCTGTTTAAAAAATCTATAACTTGAACAAGACTTGAGCCTTAAATATTAAAATTAAATCCGACCCACATTTTAAATATTTTTTTTTGAAGTTGTTCAACTGGGGATAAAAAAAAGAACAGATAATATTTTTTTCATTGTAGGTAGGAGTTCAATAATTCAAGTTCTATATATATGGGTTTTAGTGATACAAATATTATTGGACTTAATGGTTCAGAATTTTTTGTCATGACATTTTGAACATGTAATGAACTTGGTATCCACATGCCATGTGTTGGGAACAATAGTGACCTAAACCAAGAAGATTTGATAGATTTCTGTCTCATAACCAAACAATTTTTATTGATATTTCTTTAATCCCAAAAAAATATATATCATCTCGTCCCATGTTTGTTAGAATTAAAATTTAATTGATATAAAATTAAGAACTCGAGATTTATATTAAATTATTAAAATAATAAAATAAATGTGAAAGCATGCCAAAATTAATTGATATAATGAAATTATTAAGTTTATTTGGTTGTGATATTCTAAAAAATAGATTTTCTCTTGCCGTAGAAATTCTTTGATGGGATAAGACTAAAATAAGTTAACTTGTTTCTTGAGAACCACTATCTGTTTGTATAGATGAATATATATCAATCTATTAAGTATTTATAGTTTTATTCCTCATCAAATTATAAATACAACTCATGTTATACACTTTAATATCTATGACATGTACATAATTGGTCGCTTGATTTTGTATCATACTTTATGATAGCATTTTACATTATACATATACCAATTATGGATTTTAATCAAACAATCTCCCACTGTGAACATATGTTTCTTGACAATGTAAAACCTTATGAGCTCAAAATTTGCTATCTTATAATAGGTATTCTATAACATTCTCATCCATCAACTATATTCATATAGGATAAAAGCGGTTTTCGTCGTATCATTCATGACTAGACTCATCAATGGTCACATATGCAAATAGAATCAAATGGCATTAATCAATTACGGAGTGTAGCATAAAAATTACATGCAATGTGAACCAATATCCTATTTAAATGAATACAAAATATAAATCCTCTCGATACATAAAAAATAAATAAATATTTTTTATCAATCTGGGGTAAGCACAAGATAATATATATTCAAAGATTACTCTCAACCATTTAACATTTAACGCTCATACACTTAACATTTTTGATATTCGAACTCGAGACTTCAAGGAATAATCCATACCAACGGGGAATATCTATTTCTAGAAGGATTTAAACCCATTTTCTGTTTTACATTATCAATCCCTTCAAGTTCCAAGAATATTTTGATCAAAGGTGAAATTAGTGATACCATTGTTTCATTACATGTGGCATCACATGTTAAGTAGGAATAAATAATCCCACTTGCATGCCCTCCATTTATGAATTCTTAAATTGGACCTCCTCGGGGGATTCATAGTCCAGTTGTAATGGCAGTCTTTTTCAAGCTTTTCGAACCAGTCTTAAAAACCTCGTATTTTATTACGTATATATAACTCATAGAATTAGTCTCTATATTTTAATTTAATCAATTTTACTCATTATACTTTTAAATTTTGGAATGTCAATCGTTATCCAAATAATTCCAGGACAATATAGTTAGTAAAAGAACTTAAAACAACCAAATTAAAGAATAGTAGTTAAATATATCTACAACTTAATAATAATACAATAACTGATAGCAGAATTATATTAGAATGTAGGGATTACATCCGTAATTTATAAATAGTAGAAGAACTAGTGAAAGATTTTGAAAACAATTGCTTAACTTTTACTGTAGTGCAAAACACGTGCTTTAATTCATGTACAAGAATCCCATCCATGATCAATCATTATGCTGGTTCAATGATTACATCAACTCACTTAAATATGAGTGATTTAGTGAGTCTGGGAAGTAAACAAACATCAAGTGTTCCAGCACGTGAAACTCTATTTAAAGCAAGAGAGAGTTTGTGAGTGATGCATCAAAAGTGTGAGCAAAGCTTTCATCAATGGCTTCCAAAGCTCTGCTATTTCTATTGGCTACTCTTCTGCAACTTGCTTCAGAGGTATGGGTTAGGCTACCTTCCTCTAATGAGTTGTTAATGTTATCTAACTCAAAAGTTGATCTGTTTCCTATAGGTTTCATCTAATGAAAAGGAAAAGAGGATTGAGGTTAGTTTTCTCAAGCAATGCTCATCTAAAAACTTATTCCTTGTGCCCCAAATTTCTTCAGCTTTCTTTGGTTGCAGATGAAATATGTTAAAGTTCCTGAACCAGCAACTCCAATCCCAGTGAAGGCACCACCACACCCAGCTCCTGCACCACCAGTCAAGTCACCATCTCCACCGTATAAACCTCCAACTCCGGCACCCGCACCTCCAACCACAACTCCCCCTTACAAGCCACCAAGTCCACCACTTCCACCGGTTAAAACAAGGAAGGGTAAGAAATCATACATGCTTGACCCAATCTAAAACACAAGTATCAGATTTTTGTCTAAAAATTTACACATGATTAAATCAAACTTGGATGATTTGTTTATGCAGATTGCATCCCTTTATGTGGAGAAAGGTGCAAATTACACTCAAGGACTAACCTATGCATGAGAGCTTGCATCACATGCTGCGATAGATGCAAATGTGTTCCACCGGGGACGTATGGGAACCGAGAGATGTGTGGGAAATGTTACACTGACATGAAAACCCACAACAATAAGCCCAAGTGCCCTTGAAAACACACACTTAGGGTTTCCTATTTGGTTTTAAGCTAAATCAGCTTGTAGTATGAAGTGCTTAGAGAGTGGAGAAGAGAGTGGAGAAGTTTGATGGTTTTTCTTGAATGTGTTCCTATTTCTTTCAACTGAACTTTACTTTTGTTGAGTTAATTTTTTTAGGGTAAATTATGAGTTTAAGCACCTAAACTATTATTTTTGTTCCGTTTTGATATCCAAACTTTATTTTGTTTCAAAATCATACATAATGTCTAGTTTAGGTTTCATTTTGATGCTCAGTCGTTAAAAAATTAACAGAACTATTGACATGATATTTTTTTATTTTCTTCAATAATGATGTGACATTACCTTATGATGACACTTCGGTATCACAGGTGAGTTTTTAACGGCAATATATTAAAATAAAACCTAAACTAACATTAAGTATGGTTTTGAAACAAAATAAAGTTTGGGTATCAAAATGGAACAAAAGTATTAGTTTAGGTACTAAACATGTAACTTACCTCTTTTTATAAGATAATGTAACTTTTTCGAGGAAAAGCTAACTTTTTTGCTTAATTTGATTTGATTAAATAATCTTTCGTTTAAGTATCACATTGGGAGATAAAGTATAATTTAAGGGCCAAATCACATATTAAATATAATTTAAGTACTAATGCTGCAATTGCAACCTATTAAGTAGAAGCAAATATAGGGACCGAGCAAGATTTTATATTAGGAGAATGAACTTATAAAATTTCAGAGGAGACAAAAACATATATTCAATAGAAAATACATAGAAAAATCTAAAATATATGATAATTTTAAATTTTTAGAGGCAACTGCCCCACCCGCCCCTTGGTCCATCCCTGAGCAAATGTGTGCATGAAGGGCAGTAAAAACATAGATACAAAACAAAGAGGTTTAACTAGTGCAATTCCAGATCACATGGGAGGTAAAAGAAAAATTACTCTATTGATAATAGAGATACAAATACCCTATCGGGTTGGGGGCAAATACAAGTTATGATTGTTTAGAAAAGTGAAACTCAGAATGTCAAGAGCTACATGTTTGCCGTTGTTTCCTTGATTTCTTCCATTGTGATGGACTGCACACCAAGTATACATATAGTCAGACCAAGTATACAAAATATCTGCTACTTACATGAATTGATGCTAGTAAATACCAAATACGACGAAACTATGTTGCCCAAACTCCGGCAAGTTAAACTACCTTGCAAGTCCCTATACTATCGGCTTAAGTACACATTAGTCACATAAAAGTGAGCAATTTAGTCCCTTTTGTTATACCCTCTGCCTTTAAGACACTATTACGAAGCATTGAGTTGTCGGAACCAGCTATATCACCACATCAATATGATAACTCAGAAGAAGCAGTAATCCCCTATTAAGTGGCTACTAGACTAATGAGGCGGCTCCATGAAGACCCTGGTGATGTCAGACAGAGGGGACCAAGAGCATCAACAACTGGTGGCCCTCCGCCCAATCTAGAAGGGGTGAACCACAAGCCGCTGACCAATCTCCTTCAACCATAACCCATTGAACCACCATCCTATATGTTGGACCTCAACATATTTATATTTAATTTTGAAGCAAAGAGATAACTTTGAACGTTAACAATGCTGATTTATCGTGGAGAAAAAATGGCACTTATAATGTAGAAGGATTAATTTGCTCCTAAAGTTATAGTACAAGGACCCGCCAAGTAGTTTAATTTGTTGTGTATAAGTTTCAGATATGAGTATATACCCAACACGGGTATGTTTAATTTATTTTCAAGATTTTCATGTAATTGGAGGATTCTAACTCCATTCCCATCTCCGAAAATATGATGGCTACGGGTGCTTAAATAAAAACGAAGAGCCAAAGCAACTGGAGGATTATAATCCTCCGAAAATATGATGGCAACGGGTGCTTAAAGTTAAACGAAGAGCCAAAGCAACATAACCAAGGAAAAAGATCTAAGAACCCAAATAAATACCTGCTCTTGGCCAGCAAAATCATTATCTGGAGTGAGAAAGAGCATGCAGTGACATTCTTTCCTGCCGAATATTTGTATACATTGAGTAAGAGAACTCAGATTAAACAAATGAAATTTACATAGTAACCGTAGAAACTAATGAGAAAGAGCATTTAGTGCCGGACAAGTATGTTTTTCAACACAGGTATGTTCAACTTTCTCTCAAGTTTTACCATGTACTTGGAGGATCCTTGAAGGGTCATATCCTCGTATCCATGTCTTAAAACATATCTGACGCGAGTATTTCAAGAAAAATGAAGAGTCGGAAAAACATAGCTTGGGCAACAGTTTCCAGAAAAGACATGTTTTAACTGTTATCATTGTTAATATGAACTGCAAACTTTCAAACCATACAATATCTTGCCTTGCTATCAGAAAGAATATAGACTAGGACACACCAAAGCAGTTCTTTGATTTTTTTTTATTTTTTTTGTTTCCGAAGACTGTTTGCTTCGGGAAAGGAGAAATATAGCTTGAATTTTTCATTGTATAACACAAAATGCATGAAACAGAAGTACAAGTTCATGAATCAGAACTCAAATCCCAAGTAAATACTTAACACCTTTTGCCACGATAAACCAAACTCATGTCCCAAAGACAATATCAACATTTGACATAAATCCTCTTTACTTAGCACCAAATTTCTTTTCAACTTGTTATAGGATTATTTTGAACCTCTAAAGTATCATGGAAATCCTTCCCCACATAATACCTTCATTGCTACAACTACCTGCGGTTTGAAATCAATCTTGATCATGACATTAAAGTTCCTTTCTTAATTTCATGAAATAAGTAACTAGTTCATCAGGACAGTGCGCTCCAGTTCAGAAGCTTCCACTAAAGTCAATGATCAGAAAAGTGACAAGCAGCCATTGTTAAATAGTGGATCTCAAAAGGTTCTATACGAAAACATTAGCACTGGTCACCTTGATAGGAAGATCGTTATCGACTACGTATTTCTAGGATGAAACGAAAGATACACCTACTTTTGGACTTCCCATACAACTCAGGCAGTGAGACCAATTTACATGAGGAATATACATTAAAAGGTATCATGACAATGCATTCACCTTTCTCTCATAGGAACGCATGGACAGTTCCAAAACCCCTGCCCTGCCTCAGCAGCTTTATCGTCATAATGCCTGTAATAATTTGGATTTACATTTAAAATGTTATTGAATCTTATATAGCTATATATGTCAAGATACTTGAGTGTAACGAGATCTAATAATATGGAACAAGATAGAGAGATCATGGAGGAAATATTTACCTGCAAGGGCAGAGAGGGGCACCCAACGTATCTTTATGCTCAGCCAATCCCTGTCCAAATATCCGAAAATAAGTTTTTGTTTATCAAGAAATGAAAAGATGAGTGGACTTGATGGATTTAATAAAGTGACAGAGCTAGGACAAGGTTTATGCTATGCTCAAGTAGGAGTTAGATTTTAAAAGAAAATCCAACATTCAGGAAAATACATCACATTCAAGAAGATCCAAACTAAGGCACAGATTTGTTGGAATAGTAAAATATAGCATTTTATCATTCTTCAATTTGTCTTGTTGTTTATGAATGGACAAGATGCAGTCCTTTTGTCCATCGTTTGAAGACAAGGCATTAACAATTTTTGAATTCAACTTCTCCGATAGGTACACCTGAACATGCGGCGTTCTATATTATCTGATAGAATTCAATCAGAATTGAGTAAGTAAAGAATTTCTGCACTCTATTCCTTCCAGTTACAATAAAGGTTCACCAAGAGTAACTAATGGTTCTGCTTGTGATGGTCTAGGATAAAACACTAAACGATAAGACTTTTCCGGATTATCCTTCACATGTGACATGACATAGCTTATTGATGCCATACTAGCCCTTGAATTTTTGGTGAAATGCATATTAGATACAGACTAAACAATAGCTCTAACAAATTTTCTTAGCTAAAAGTAAGATCTTGCAAGTTGCAACTGAAAAATATCATATAACTTCCATTGTCAACCATATAACAATGCTTGACATCTAACTCTCACTAATATTTGAAGCTTTTTGAGCTGCCTTACTGGTAGAAAGGCTAAAGGATGAATCCTCTGCAATTCAGCCCTTTGAATGTTTCACTTAAGGCAGGGTTGAAACCAGGTAATGACTCATTTGTGAAGATTTTTCGAAACTGGGATGCAAAATAAGGATATTCAGTTCAATCGTTGAAGAGCTGAGTCTAAAGAATACCTTGATAACAACAGAAGTCACTCCCTTATCCATACAGAAATATGTGCCCGAACGGCGAGCATATTGTTCCGAGAATTTCCTCATTATTTCTACAGATTTCTCTGATGGTTCCACTGAAATACAAAGTCAAAGAACCCCAAACGAAATGAACAAAAAAGAGAGAAATTTGACTCACACAATCACATGATATTGAAACCCCAGGAATTTTATCAAACAGATAACCAATAGTATAGCACCAATTCATCAAATTCAAGCTAAAAACAAACATGGAAGAAACTTCAACTCATATAATCACATAAGACTGAAACCCCAAGTCAAAAAACCAAAAAATGCAGCTCAAACACATTAAATTATAACTAAAAATGATGATACAAAACTTGGGAATTCACTAAAACAAGCAAAGTTAGTACCTTTAGCTCTGATTACAAAGAGATGACGGGAAGTTTTTGGAGGGCAAGGAAGATAAGAAAAGCCTCCAATGTTAAAGGAACTTGCTTGCAGAGTCATCGCTTCAACTGCAAAAGAAGCTAGAGTTTAATCAACTTGTTCTTGGAGTGTGCCCTTTTATAGTTTCGGATATTTGATTGAGTCATGATATCATCATTTGATTTTGGGTTTTCCAAGTTTTCATGAAAAATTTGAAAGGCTCTCCCTTTACCACTTGTTTTTGAGAATATCAACCAACAAATTACATAAGCCACTCATCGGATTGTCTTTCAGCGATTAGCCATTGATCGGCATCCATCAGAGTAGTTTTTCTTTGGCATAATATCAAAATTAACCCCAACTGTTATCAAAATGGTTATTTTAGTCTCTTTTTTTATAACATTTTAGCCCCAACATTTTATTTTAGAGCAAAAAAAAAAACACTCTATGGATGGAAGCTACTAATAACAAACGGTTAACGCTCCGAAATAAATGTTTTTTATCTTAAAATAAGATGTTGGAGGCCAAAATACTCTAGAATAAAAGAATATAAGGGTTAAATTGATAATTTAGTCAAACATTAGGAGACTTTTTACTTTAGAATAAGAAGTTGGAGGCTAAAATTTTCTAAGAAAAAGAATATGGGTTAAAATGACAATTCTAGTAAACACTCGGGGTTAATTTTAGTATTATGCCTTTTTTTGGTAAACTATATATTTGGTCACACAATTATTCATATTTTTATTCTAATAATCAAATTATTTTTTTAATATTTTCGTCATTAACATTAGATTTCTATTCTATTTTAATAATTAATCGTTTAAATTAGATTAAAAATTAAATTTAATACGACGATGTGGTAGCTGGATATAAAATAACAAATCTCAACATGGTTAAGGTGAAAGAGTGGTAGCTTCAGTTCTTTGATAATATACGAGGCAACAAAGCCTGCACAAATTGCCATGAAACATTTACATCCAAGTTTCTAACACACATTATTGCAAGAAAGAACTGAATCAAACCGATGAAAACGGAGAATTTCATAGCTTATTTATAGTAGCATTTTCGAGTTCAATCCGACTTTTGTAGCATTTGCAAAACATTGCATAAAACAGTACGCTCAAAGCACTGGCAATGGCTAGAAGCCAGTATAGTTTGTCCAGTCCATCTTCCCTCATGTCATCCGAGAACCAGCTTCGTCTTCCGTCCGAACTTGTAAGAGCTTCGATGACCGAGATCATCAACGCGCTAAGGAAACTTCCGACCCCGAAAACGCTGGTGTATAGAGCGAATCCCATCGTCCGCATCCGGACCGGGACTTCATTGTAGAAGAATTCTTGCATCCCAACAACGGTGAAAATGTCCGAAATGCCTAAAAGAACATACTGCGGAAGCAACCAGAAGATGCTTAATGGGACTGTTTCGGATTCCCGGTTGCCTATTTTCCTGCTGATCTCGAGCCTCGTCCTTTCGACGACCGCAGCGATGATCATAGCAATGACCGAAAGAAACATACCGACTCCCATTCTTTGCATTACGGTGATACCTTTCTCATTACGAGTGACCAACTTCGTGATCGGGATCAAAACTTTGTCATAAAAAGGCATCAAGAGGATTATAGACAATGTAATTGCACTTTGTAGCGTTGCCGGTGGGATCTTGAAGTTCTTACCGACGTTCCGTCTCATTGTCATCCCTTGTTTCGTGAAAAAAGTTGCAGGCTGTTGGAAAATCACGGCGAACATCAAAAGCATCGTCCATATAGGCAATAGACGGAGTACTATTTTCACATTTTCAATCAGGTAAGTATTTGGTTCAAGATTCAAATCCGAGCCCTCATTGCCGTGGTGATGTTTTTTATCACAAAGAGGTCTCTGTTGAAGCCTATAAACAAGTTAGAAGCCTAGAGTGACCATCAAAACTTATGCATATCACTTAAAGCATCCTCGAAATCGAATAAGAAAATACTCACTCTAGCTCCACTGAATCGGACTTTTCGTCTGGCAAGGTGATGCCGCAATTGATTAATCTCGACGCCGTCTCTTTCATGGTTCGAACAGGTACAGAAAGGGCTTGTTGTATATGGTTCGATCCTGTTTATGTGCGTAAATCCGGCTACCGCATACGAAGAACGCGACGGATATAATCATGGCAAACATGGGGATTGCGAATCCGAGCACCCAGCCGAAGGTATCTTGGATGTAGGACATTAGGATTACACCTAAGAGGCTGCCAGTGCAAACACCGAAGTACCACCATTGGAAAAATAGACCCTTCTTTTTGGAGCTCTTTTTGTCATCATTGGTGCATGGGAATTCATCATCATGGTCCAGTTGGTCGGCTCCAAAGGCTTGCAAAGAAGGGTTATATGCACCTTGCCCTAATGAAATCAAACAAAGGGAACCAAAGAGGAAGGCAGAGGAGCTTGTGGTGCTTGGAGGTGTATATGTCCATACCAAAGATGTTGATGCCACGGCTCCAAGGCCCTAAAATTGTTAAAAGAAACCGCATAATGTCAAAAATTAACCCTAACGTTATTAAAATTGTATTTTTGATTCATATTCTTCTTTTTGGAATATCTTAGTTCTATCGTTTTATTTTAAGAAAAAATACTTAACGTTTGACTAAATAGATATTTTGGTCCTTATTTTTTTTTTGAGATTTTTACCCTCGATGTTTCATTTTAGTGTTAAAAGACTCCTATTTTGGAAGGTTAACCGTTTATTAACTCCATACACGCAATGGCGAAACACAAGAGGGATTAGTGGAAGCCATGGTCCCACTAAAATTTAAAAAATTATAATTTAAACCCTTAACATTTAAAAAAAATATTTGACTCCTCAAAATTTTTAGAAATTCATATTAAACTTTAAAATTTTTAATGTTCTTAATAAACCCCTCCCATATTTTTTAAAAATTCTCATTAAGCCTCTCAAAATTTCAAAAATTTTAGTTAGACCCTAATTTTTTGAGGAAAAATGTAAACTAAACCCTTTAATTTAAAAAAATAGTTTAAACCTTTGAATTTTTAAAAATTTTAAGTTGACCTCCCAAACTCTATCAGCAAGTTCCGCTATTGCATAGAGGGGTCTTTTTGCCTAAAATGAAACGTGAGAGTCAAAATATTAAAAAAGAATGAGTCAAAATGACTATTTAATCAAACGTTAAAATCATTTTTTGATATTATGTAAAAAAACGTGTTATTAAGATTTTTAAATAAAAAATTAGTTTAATAAAAATATTAATTGTAAATTAAATTTTATATTTTAGAATAATATAGAAACTTTGAGATATTTAAATCAAATACAATCAGACAGATGTAATCATGAAGGAATAAAAAATAAAAAGTGGTGATGAATCAGAGTCCAACTTTTCTATTGCCTGCTGGTGTAATCCATTTACCTTTCAATGGTGTAAACGAGCATGCATTTGAGAAAATTAAATAAAAATAATAATTAGAAAAAGAACACCAATGAAGTGCAATTTCATGAATGAAAAAACAAATGAGCAAAATCTGAGAATGAAGAACAAATTGTATGAAGAGGACTCACCAAAACATAGAGGAAAGATGAAGTCAAAATGGTTGAGTACCTATCCCAGAAGGAGTCAGCCAAAGGTGCCACCAACAATGGCAACATGGAAGTGAACCCACACCAACTGTTCACAGTCTTGGCCGCTTCAGAATTGCTCATCTTCATCACATCCGTGAGGTATGTCACCAGATTCGACGCCACTCCTTTGAATGCAAACCTCTCCATTCCAGCAATCACTGCAAAAGTAAACGACTTTGCTCACTTTCCGCACATATTTGGGGAAGAAAGGGGATGAGAGAATTGTTTACCTATAAGAAGAATACATGATTTACTAAGCCCTCCGGCTCTTCTTTCTTCAGCCATGTTTAAAGACAAACCAATCTTCTGAATGGTCACTAAAGAAGGCAAAGCTTGTGTTGTGTTACCATAAACAAACAATGGAGAAAAAGCCACTTTTGGCTTTGGATTACCTAGAAAAATGCAGAAAACACTGTTTTTTAGCAGATTACTTCAGTGAGGCAGATACGTCTGCTTCATTGACACTTGGTGATCAGTGGCAAAGCCAAGTATATTCCCAGCACATCAAGTTCCCCACGACAGAAAATACAGCTGATGATTTATAATGGCGGGAGGATCGCATTTGACATTAATATTTCTCCTTTTCTTTTCCATTTGATTTCTGTTACTGGTTTTAAAGACAATCATAGGTTCGAATCTGTAAATATATCCAACTTTTCTTTATACTTTCAAAAAATTATATTCAAATATTTATCAAATACAAATATTTTGTAAAATGTTATATTAAAATATTTTATAAAATGAAATGTTATTTTATCTAGTTGTCTTTGATTTGAATAGTTATGTTTATATGGTCTATGCACGAACTAAGCGATTTCGGTGATAAAAGAATTGTTATTTCTTAAGGTTCCGGGTTCGAGCACCATAAATACTAAGGGTGTGAACATTCAATATTAAATGATTGAGAGTTTATCTTTGAACAAATACTACATTGTACTCGCCCCAAATTAATAAAAAGAACTTATGAACATTTGTCAAAGAAAATCTAAACAAATATTACTTTAAATATTCTAGACTTTTCAAAATGGATAAGTATATATATATATATATATATACCTTAATTCGTGACTTCAATTTTTTATTTAGTATTTTATTTGGTTTAGAGAATTAAATTGACCAAAGTTATAAATTTGAAGGATAAAATTGTCTAGAAATTAATATTTGTATGGGAATGTAAAGGGTTAACACATATTTTGACCCATATATTTGGTCTTAAGTATCTAATTAGCCCTTGAATTTTTTGGACATGCTTGACCCTTGACTTTAAATACTTTGGCTGTTGAATATTTCTGAACACATTTGGTCTTGAACTTGATATTAGGTAATTAATTAGTACTTGAACATAAAAATTCACATATATTAATCCAAAAATTTAGTCCCATTAAAATTTTATTGATGTATCGACTCTAGACAATCAATGATTGTTGTATGTCTTTAAAAATGGAGACGACACATGTTTAGAGATTCATATTTATAACTCATTTTAATACTAAGAGATCCATTTTTAAAGACACGTGACATCAATCGATTAATTGAAAGAAACGTATTAAAACCTAGTCTCATTGGATTTTCGATTAAACTCGCAATATTTCAACAACTAATTCAACTTCTTCATTCATGTTTAATGATGAAGTGAATCCTTTGGGTAGTTCTGCGGTGCGGCGCCTAAAAAACGGCTAATATACGGCGTGACCGGTTAAACAATTGACCGGTTAAAATTTATATCGGTTATGTTATATTATTTAACCGGAAATATTATAAAGTACAATAACATACTAGGTAGCCCTTATATAATGTAATAGGTAGCGCTTATATTTACCTATTTTATAAGTAATCCGGTATATTTATACCGATAGTATTGCAAATTTACCTATTACATTATATTATATTGAAAGTGTCCATACTTTTTATAAAAAGGATCGATACTTCTTTTAAAGTTATGTAATTTATGTTTCAATTTTTTTTAATAGTGTTTCATGTTTTCCACCTACAATATTAATTTAATAATTTCATTTGCACAAAAAATTATTTGATTTTTTGATATTTTATAAAATATTATTTAGAATTTTTAATTTAATAATAATATATATCGTAACGTAAAAAATAAATCATTAGACGCCTATAATTACTAAATTAATATCTTAAAACTCACTCAAAAGATAACCTTAAATTAATGTTTTCCACAGTGAAAAAAGTATGGACACTTTTATAAAAAGGATAGACACTTTACAATATAACCACTACCTATTACATTATATAACGATACCTATTACATTATATAAGCGCTACCTATTACATCATATGTTTACCTATTATATTGAAAGTGTCCATACTTTTTATAAAAAGGATCGATACTTTTTTTAAAAGTTATGTAATTTATGTTTCAATTTTTTTAACAGTGTTTCATATTTTCCACCTACAATATTAATTTAATAATTTCATTTACACAAAAAATTATTTGATTGTTTTGATATTTTATAAATAATATTTATAATTTAAATTTAACAACATTAACCAAAGATAATAATAAATATGTAATATATGTTTATTGTTTTTAATTTAATAATAATATATACAACATCAAACACATTCTAAGCTATAAATTACAAGCTAAGGACACTTGAAGAAGCAAGAGAACAACTATCCAAGCAATCAAAAACGAGAAAATCCCAACATGATAACAATTGAACATATCATATTAATGTTCAAACTCAAGTTGTAGATTTTGATTTCCTTTTGCTTGGCATCATATGAGATTTTTGATTTCCTTTTGCTTGGCACCATATGAGCTTTGGATTTTGATGAGCATCGGAAGTATTTCAGACTTATGATTGGGTGGTACTCAGAAACATTTCGGACTTATGATTTTAGTTGCTATTTGTTTACCACCCAGATCATACGCCCGAAACGTTTCTGACGCTTTAAAGTTGACCAAAAATACAATGGTCGGGATTTCCCTCGCGTTTAAACGTTGGAAAAAAAAACAATGGAAATTAGGAATAATCAATGATAACATGCATATTGGCTTGGGCTAATATTTATAGTGGAGCCGAAATATATATTGAAATTCAAACTCAAATTGAAATTGAAATTCAAACTCCAATTACATATGAAATGAATTTGAAATGCAGTGTTAAATTGAACATGAAAATTGCATAATTGATTCATACTGTTCAAGTAACATGTTTTATGAACCATCAAGCTAAAAGACAATATTGATTGAGTTCAAAGCTGAGTTGTGAGTTGATGGAGTTGTCACACTTGTCACATGGTTGGAATAAAGTAATTTGATTTAATAATTTTATTTGCACAAAAAATTATTTGATTGTTTTGATATTTATAAAATAATATTTAGAATTTGTAATTTAATAATATATATATCGTAACGTAAAAAAATAAATCATTAGACACCTATAATTACTAAATTAATATCTTAAAACTCACTCAAAAGATAACCTTAATGTTTTCCACAGTGAAAAAAGTATGGACACTTTTATAAAAAGGATAGATACTTTACAATATAACCACTACCTATTACATTATATAACGATACTATTACATTATATAAGCGCAACCTATTACATCATATGTTTACCTATTATATTAAAAGTGTCCATACTTTTTATAAAAAGGATCGATACTTTTTTTAAAAGTTATGTAATTTATGTTTCAATTTTTTTAACATCGTTTCATATTTTCCACCTACAATATTAATTTAATAATTTCATTTACACAAAAATTATTTGATTGTTTTGATATTTTAAAAATAATTTTAATTTAAATTAACAACATTAACCAAAGATAATAAAAATATATAATATATGTTTATTGTTTTTAATTTAATAATAATATATACCGTAACATAAAAAATAAATCATTAGACGCCTATAATTACTAAATTAATATCTTAAAACTCACTCAAAAGATGTATATACCTAAATATGTAGTTAACAAACATACCTAAATATGTAGTTATTGTACATACCTAAATTAATGATAATATATACTTGTAGTTATTGTACATACCTAAATATGTACTGCGAATTTAATGGTGTACCCACCCTTTAACTACCACTACCAATGCCACATCCTATTGAAAGCAGCACGACTGAAACATGTTCAAAATGAACCTTTGCTTACATCTCCATCAACTCCTGGAGCACTGAACTTGCACAACAAAATTTTTGCCATGGATAATACTGATGTAGACAATGTTAAGCCAACTGAGGAATGCCATGAAGTACATAATGTTGATGAATCTGACAGATTGGTTGGTCAGCTCTTCTGTTCACGTGATCAAGCTTGGCACTTTTACAAGGGATTCGCCGGGAACATGGGTTTAGTGCACGTAAGGGAACAACACGGCTTGACGTGGAAGGGAATTTGAAGACACATGAATTTTGTTGTTCCAAAGAAGGGTTTCGAGTATCAAAAGTCAATACTTTTGATCGTCAACGTGCTCATACGCCAGTCACAAGAACATGATGTAAGGCTAGAGTCGTAGTTACAGCAACAAATACAAACGATCAGTGGGTTATAAGTAAGTCTGATCAGAAACATAATCATGCATTGTGACATCTGCTATGACACCATTTATGCGTTCTAATAGAGCTGTAAGTAAGGCTGATATCGATGAGGCAACAACATTGAAAGAGGTCGGTGTTGGCACGTCACAAGTAATGAACTATTTAACGCAGCAGGCAGGGGGCTATCATAATGTTGGATTTACACATAAAGACCTCTACAATGCACTTCAAAGAGGTAAAGTAAAGGAAATCGTCGATGGGATGTGAATGCGCTTATTGCCTACTTTGATTATAAGAAACATGATGATCCCGGGTTTTTATGACATACTCGGTAGACGAATCGGGGGCATTGTATAATCTTATTTGGTCGGATTCTACATCGAGATCGGATTACACATGTTTCGGTGATGTAATTGCGTTCGACACAACGTACAAAGATAATTTGTATGGTCGACCAATTATGCCTATTGTTGGTGTCAATCATCACCATAACACAATTGTGTTTTCCACTGCCATAATCGCTGACGAGACGTCTCAATCTTTCGAGTGGGTGCTACAAAATTTTTTAGAAGCCATGATGAATAAATCACCTATTTCTGTTGTAACCGATGGGGATAGGGCAATGCAGAGGGCTATCAAATCTGTTATCCCTTATGCTAAGCACAGATTATGTTCTTGGCATCTTTCTCGCAATGCACAAGCTAACATTGGTGACCCAAAGTTTACAGTAGCATTCTCAAAATGCATGGCTTCCTGGTGGACAACCAAGGAATTTGATATTCAATGGCGTTCGATTGTTTCAGAATTCAACGTCCAAAAGCATCCATGGGTGATTGAGAAGGGAAATACACGACACTTATGGGCACAAGCATATCTAACCGGTCATTTCTTTGCCAATATTCGCTCAACACAAAGGTGCGAGTCTATGAATGCTTCACTAGCTATTGCACTGAAACACAAGAAGACATATTTAGATGTTGTTCGTGCAATTGAAGATGGAATTAGTAGAATGCGTATGAACGAGTTGAAAGCGGATTACTTAAGTTCCCAT